AGATGCCAATCAGTGCTTCAGCCACGCTCTGACTGTCTATCTTACGAAGCGGTATAGCCTCACCCTAGGCACTACAACTATCTACGAGGGTTAAGATATAGGCATTCTTCTTTTTCGTGAGGGGAAGAGGTCCCACCAAGTCGACAGCCACTCTCTCGAAGGGAGTGGACATTATGGGAGTTTCTCCCAGTCGGACTGGTGCAATCTTGCCTTTCGGGGCGACTCTTTGGCACTCCGGACAAGATTTGACAAACAGTATTATGTCAGCTGTCATACCCGGCCAAAAGTAATGACAGGAAATACGTTGAGTCGTGGCATTTATTCCCATATGGGCACTGTACGCAATCGTGTGACCCATTTGGAGAATTTGTTGCCGGTATGGTCGAGGCACGACTAGCTGACTATGCTCAGTATATTTGTCACCCCCAACGCGGAAAAGCAACTTACCTTTCATAAAGTAATCATTTCTTTTCGGCGGAGTGTGACTGACAGGTAACTTTTTGAAACAAGCTCTAAGAGTAGGGTCAGTCTCTTGGGCTACCTTGATCTCGTCAGGTAAGGGATTTACGTGACTTTGATCTTCCGTGGCACTATTATGTTGCGCACGGGTGGTCATCGCCGCAAGCTGTTCTGAAGGTGTAGGGGCATTCGCTAAATAGACATAACGAGCTCCTAAAATAAGAGGGAACGTACTCCGTTTCAAGACGGCCGCCTCAATCACCCCAGTAACGTATCTAGACTTGACCTCTATCTTAGCTACCGGCAAGTTCATGGGTCGAGCATCAAGAGTTGCACATCTGAGCTCTATAAATTTACCTGTATACTGATCAGCTCTAACGATTTCAGGGGAACAGACCGCGGAGTAGGACAACCCTGAATCATATAGACAAGAAATTCTCTTTTTATTAGCCCAGACATTTTCTACCACAGGTGGCCTATTGGAACGGTTATATAATTTCTCTGCGGCAGACGAACCCACAGTCGTCAACAAAGCTGACAATTGAGTCCCCCCTGCTGACTTCACCTTACAATCATTTGTATGATGGGAATTATTTTTGCAATTCCTACAGAAGAGTTTTCTAGAACTATTGTACAACTGTTTCTGCTGCGAACTGCTAAATTTAGAAGGATTCTGGTGATTTACATGGGATGTGCTCTTTTTGGGGGAACCTGGAGTTGGAGTTTTCTGACCGTTCTGACTATTCCTATTATGATTATGGGGCTTAGCTTTCCCAGAACTATCATCCTTATGGGCTAACTCGTACCGTTCGGCATGAACCAAAATGTCAGTCAATTTTTCTGCACCGTTCTCGGTGAGAAAGGTTTGCATTGACTTCGGTAGAGTATCCTTTAATTGTTCGGTTAAAAACAATTCTTGCAGATCTTCGAAGGAAGCTTCATAGCCAGCCATTTCACGCCATTTACCAAGATAACTTTTTAATCTATCTGCAAACTGCGGATAAGTTTCCCCAATCATTTTCCTTTCATTCCTGAACTTATGCCTATAACTAGCAGCATTCAACTCGAACCTTTTCAATAAAGCCTGGCACAGGGCTTCAAAGTCAGTATCGGAGCCAGTGGGCATCCGCTGAAAAATTTCATATGCCTCTCCTCTCAATCCCTGTGCCAGTTTTAATGTATACCTATCTTTCTCAAGATTATATATTGTAGCAAGTTTAACAAACTTATCAATATACTGTTCAATCGTTTCCAACTTCGCATCAAAGGCAGGCATAGGAAAATTCATGGCAGGTGTCGAGATGCAGTGAGTAGACACAGTCTCCATTTCTGAAGACTGAGATCTATAAATCTGGCTATCTCTTTGTGCCTGAATTTCCAGCTCCTTCATCTTTACTCTCTCTCGGCTTCAATTTTAAGTCTTTCGGATTCCATGAGTCTCTCGGATTCAATCCTGAGTCTCTCAGTTTCCTGGAGTCTCTCGGATTCGATCCTAAGTCTCTCAGTTTCCTGGAGTCTCTCGGATTCGATCCTGAGCCTCTCGGATTCACGAGCCTCCATTCTCATTTCTCTTTCTGTGGTCTTAATCCAATCGGTCAACTCCCTTCCTTCCAGTCCCATCTGGACAGCCATTTCTTTCAGCTCTTGAATAGAAATTCTGGACTGCGCCATGTTGAGCTGTAAAGATACTTAAAAGAAGATCCAACAAATATGCAACAATTTACGACAATTGTAAATGTTAGACACAAAACGCCAGTGGTGATGCAACCAAAACAACTATACACAAGCCAGAAGAACAATTGTCACTATGTCAGAAAGACAATCCTCCTATCACTAGGACCAATAAAATCCTACAATGTGAAAACAGGAAGAACCGCTTGTCAAAGACTACTGAAACAACCTCTTATTTCTTCCTAGGAAGAGTATAAGGAACGTATTCAAAGTAGTCACCAAATCTACCAGACAGCTTATCAATATAACAACCTGCTGGTCAAGTGTCCAGCACAACTACTGAACACTCTAATTCACTGTTGACAAATTACAATTACAATAAACAACGATCCCAGACATGAGACCACATTTTACGATAATGACTGTCGTATGGCAGTTTTGTCGCGCACCTTTACTAACGGAATATTTTCACAATCCCTCAGGTGCTCTGAGACAGGAGTGTTTTGAATGGTGGCTCTCGTTCGTCTAGAGGCCTAACCCTCGGTTCAAACTTTCCATTCAACCTGTCTCAGGGATGAGGTGACTCGAGCTCTGACTCCACAGGGTTATTATGAACACTTGGGTACCTCTCGGCCAGACGTCCTCACCACTATTATGCCCCCAGACTGGTAACAATGTAACACAGTCAAACAAGTAAACAACAGTGAATACGACAAGACAGGACTACCTTTCTGAATACCACAATGAATTCCAATAAGACAAAACTTTCCTAAGAACCAGAAGACAGATGAACTCAAAATTCAATGTAATAAGTTCACTGTAACAAAGATGACGAAAAATAACCTGAAGAATCAACTGAAAGAATACTGAATTCTTTAAAGAACAATGCTAGAGAAAGAGTCTTCCTCCTAATCTACGTCTCTTTCCGGTATCATCATAGCTGAGGAGTTGGATAGATTGTAAAGGCCCATTTGGAATCAAGCTGCCTCTAAGTGTCACTCTGACTTATCTGTTTAGATCTTGTAGCTCCTCAGGATGCCGGAGTGAAGTTTCAGACCACCTCACTTCGTAGAATGACTACACAGGAACGATGTGGCTTCTGTAATTGATCAAGGATGATCAACTCGAGATCGGAAGATGTCGACTCTAGTACCGTCTGCACACTCAGCAATAGCAATACACGCCACGTCAATAGCTTCTAGGGTGGTGCTTGGTGGAAGCACTCAGACCAATTCACCCTACGTCAATAGCTTCTTGGGTGGTGCTAGGTGGAAGCACTCGGTTAGATGGTGCCAGGTGGAAGCACTCGGTTAGACCACGGACGCTCGTTGGATCTTCAGAAATCCTGAAAAACACAAAGCAACACTCATGAGCGAACCGCACCCAATGCACCTAGTCAATCAATGTCCTTACCATCTCCTCATGCTCAGATAACTTGAGGTTAGTCCAAACCATGAAGGTTGGTTACCTCTATCTTGGAATCCATTCAGTGTACCAGAGTGAGCACCAGATCATTAACTCGAATAGTTTCTGAATTCAATCCTGTAGCGAAAGCCAGGCAGATCTCCATTATTTCCCATCCCTTTTAATATACCTCTTTCACTAATTGGAAAGATAAGGTAGAGGGGATGAAATCAAAACTAAGATCGAAGGAAATATGCTCCGAAAGTAGTACGACAGTCTAAGCTTGTTGTGGTTACGAAGCTCCTAGCAACAGCGGATATGACGTCATGTCTGCCCCGAAGCTTCTTGTCATTCACAACGGTTCAGCGACTAACCAAGTTCAGGGACCGAATAACAGCAAACAACTAATCATACAAAGTTAACAATACTATAAACCCACTCCAGATATGTGGATTGATTGATCCGAAGAGGTTTAGAAGGCCGGTTCTAAGAATTCTCCGAGAAATGTTAGCCGAAAGTGTATTCCAATCTGGAGCTCTATTCGCCGTCTTCCATCGCAAGGATCGTAGACGAACAGATTTGCATTATCAATCTGCTGACCTTACTTACCCACACTACAGACACTCTGAGCACAAATATTCAATTAATAACCCTTATGAAAACTCACCCATGATAAATGAAAAGAGAATAAAGAATCTTGTCTTTTTAACGGTCAAGTGTCAACACACCCAAAAAGCATCTGCCTCATAACCCGGACCATAGAGAAGTGACGCATACAAATACAGTCCCCAACTACAGCAGTTGGCGTAAGAATCCTGCTCATGTATGCAGTGCAATGGCTAGACAATTTATTTTAAATAGGCGTGGAAAATGTGACCTAACGTGTAAATCGACACTAAAAGCCTAAAAGAATCAATATCAGAGTGATTTATAGGGATTTTTCTTAACTGGACCCCCCCCCCCCAACAACAAACGAACTAGATAACTACGGTTGGCCCATTGTATATCATAGTTACAATGACGATTCTGGGGGTGTTCAGACTGTGGACCTGCCCAAGGCGGTAGATGTGTGTATACTGTCATGCGACAATGACCTGAGCTTCCAGCGCCTATGCAAAAGGAGGAGGGGGGTATTCAAGATTTTTCAGTGTCAGTGCCATCCTAATTTTCACTATTAGCTAATTTACACATTGACCCCCCCCCCTTTTCTCCCCCTCTCTCCCCCCCCCCCCAACAAAAAAAGTTTGGTATCGCAGCAGATCAGTCATTAGGCTCCACACTGATTTTCCCGATTAGATCACTACACAGCCGCATCAATAAATGCGATATCACAGCAGCGATAAGAACGAGAACTAAATTAGACAGAGGAATAAGAACAAGGACATTTTTAGACCAATCGTACAGTGCCATCTCGATATTCCTTGTATGTTACTTATACCGAGATCAAAATAAAATTTATATTACAGCAGTATCTGGAATCATACGACTAAAAGATCCAGAGATACCTTGTAACAGAGTGCCAGCCAAATCCACATGGCATCAACCAACACCTTCCGGTTACTTTTACGACCACAAGTGGAAATCCTTTCTGTGTTATTTACCGGATCAAATAGAAGCAACATGCTTGCAGAATGTGAACGTGAGTAGGTTTATTGTGAATAGTATCTCAGAGATCATTTAAAGTTGGTGTAATCTTAAATAAAAGTAGTAGTAGTAAAAGGATTAGCGATCAACGTCACCTGATTTGTTGTCGATTAGGTAAAACAACAAATATCTATGAAGAAGAAGAAGAAGAAGAAGAAGAAGAAGAAGAAGAAGAAGAAGAAGAAGAAGAAGAAGAAGAAGAAGAAGAAGAAGAAGAAGAAGAAGAAGAAGAAGAAGAAGAAGAAGAAGAAGAAGAAGAAGAAGAAGAAGAAGAAGAAGAAGAAGAAGAAGAAGAAGAAGAAGAAGAAGAAGAAGAAGAAGAAGAAGAAGAAGAAGAAGAAGAAGAAGAAGAAGAAGAAGAAGAAGAAGAAGAAAAAGAAGAAGAAGAAGAAGAAGAAGAAGAAGAAGAAGAAGAAGAAGAAGAAGAAGAAGAAGAAGAAGAAGAAGAAGAAGAAGAAGAAGAAGAAGAAGAAGAAGAAGAAGAAGAAGAAGAAGAAGAAGAAGTAGGAGTAGTAGAAGAAAAAGAAGAAGAAGAAGAAGAAGAAGAAGAAGAAGAAGAAGAAGAAGAACAACAACAACAACAACAACAACAACCACGTAATTTCGTCCATACCACCATTTGAGTGCTAATGGTCTGTCTATAAAAGATTTGGATCTAATACAATAAATATGCCAGATGATTTAGTGGCGGGAAACGGCTCCTTAACTATAACCTGCGTCTTGGAACGTATAATTTAAGACCTTTTTCCACGCTTTCCGCCTACTGGGTATGTAGGGCTAGACCTATATTTTATGGCCAAATTAACACTTGCTGGGTTATGTAGTCAGCATCACGCCTGCCGCCTTTACTTCCCAGGAATGTACAAGGAACCCACTTGGCAGCCATTGTCATTTTTTGAAGAAGAAAATTCTCTCTCCGTTACTATCTGACTCCATGATATTTCGATCCACAGTCGAGCGACCTGCCGCTGCACCACCGCGGCTTCTTGACACGCACAGCGAAAGTCCATAAATTGTCTGAAGTTAACAATAGCTACTAGTAATGGCTCTATACTGATAAGGAAGCACACACCCAAACTCAGGGCCTTGTGCAAACAAACCACGCAGGTAAAATTAATCCTACACAAAGGCATGCAATGGCAGGTTTACTATGAGCTGTTAAAAAACCGCCAATTCCTAACACACCCCCCCCCTGCCCCCCCCCCCCCACCCCCCATCAACACACACGCTTAAGAAATATTGCTCTTTATAATGCGCTCACATGGCAAAGGAGGAAAAAACAAGTTGTTTGGCAATGTGGTATTCACAAAGCGTAGAAAGACTGTGGAAGGATGCAGCAATGACATCAACATGTTTTATTTTTTTTTTTTTTTTTTGATCTGTCATAAACTATTTGAGATGCAGCACAAATCATTTTTTTTTTTTTTTACTAAAACGAGAACACCACATTATTGTACAACTGAATGGGCAAACAAGAATAATTAATTATTTTACAGAATTCGTCGATAATCTTATCATCAATCGAGTACTCTTTGAATAATGAAGTTTGGCTTCAATGGATCTCCGTCTCATTTTTTTCCCTCCATCTCTTGATGCTGTCCTCCGAATCGTATTAATGTATAACTTTTTCTCTCCTGCCTTCGGTTTTCTCCTTCAGTATGGTTTTAAAAAGAATTTTATGTCTTCCTAATGTAGCAAAAATAATTGATGTGTCAATTTTCTTTTTTTTTTTTTTCAATTTCTTTTAGTAGCTCTCTTTTCATGTGCATTATCTGCAGATTCTCTGTATTTGATTGATTTTGTTTACACGAAATACTACAGATTTTTTTTTATCTACATTTCCAGAATCTCCTATCTAGGTGCTTGTCCATTGCCCACGTTTCTGCACCAAACAGCAGGGTTTAGTAAATATGACACTTGACCACACTCATAGATTTTATACCCTGACTAATAAAAAACATTTTATGTTTTAAGATGGTATACAATGGCGACTCAAACGCCATCTAAATGCAAAGAAAAACATCTAAATCTGGATGTTAAATATCCAAAGTAGCAACACTGATAAAAAACGTTTTATGTTTTCAGATGGTATCATATGGCGCTCAAACGCCATCTAAATGCAAAGAAAAACATCTAAATCTGGATGTAAAATATCCAAACTGGCAACACTGATAAAAAAAGTTTTATGTTTTCAGATGGTATACAATGGCGACTCAAACGCCATCTAAATGCAAAGAAAAACATCTAAATCTGGATGTAAAATATCCAAACTGGCAACACTGATAAAAAACGTTTTATGTTTTCAGATGGTATCCTATGGCGACTCAAACGCCAGAATTTTCTATGAATATGTTCAGAAAAGGGTTGCATGCTCGGAATCATCACTTGTAAAGGATGGAGACTGGAAGGTCTCAAAACTGTGCAAGAACGAGAAATTGAATTTTTCAGTAGCGTACAAGTCACACTCAAGCCCATTTCACATCGGAGAGGTATGTGCGTCGATGTGATCGTTGATCGTTTAGGCTAATGGTTCTCAAACTATACATCTAAACCCTCAGAACTCCGCGGGTACTTCAGATGGAGTCCGTGGCCGCTCCAGGAAAAACAGTTTTTTACTTATTCTTTGCCCGCTCGTCAACATTACGTGTAAACGCCATCAGTGTGTAAAACATATGGGACATTAGGCTTAATGGACTACGCCGTAACAACTTATTCTAAACAAAAAGGGTTCCGCAAGTCTAGATGTTTGGGAATCCCTGTTATAGACACTTCAATTGTGGACGCAAAGAAGCTCAATGTATCAGTTAATTGGTTAATCAATTAATTAGAAGCTATCGTCATAATAAGGATAGACGGTTTTTGAAAAATGGAGAAGAAAAAAAAAATGTTGATATCCCTATAAGAGTTTCGCAACCAACACTACTACTGTTGGTTTTACTTAGCCATTTTTCGTTGATGAGTTTGCTGTTACCACAGAACCATCAAGGCTAAAATCCGTTTTTGCACTGTTTTTGTTTTCTTCTTGTCTTAAGTAGTCAACAACTTTAAGGGTAGATGTGCTGCGATATTCTTTTAGTCGACCGGGGTCCCGCGGCGAAATAACTTGGAGAACAGCTGTCCTAGAGCTCCTATCAATACATCTCTGCTGGTCCTAACGGGTCAAGGGTCATATCACTATAAAAGTTTAAAAAAAAACCAAAAGTCCCTTTTCCACGCCTTATAGCGTATAGGGCATATAGGGCTAGACCTATATTTTTATAGACCAATCGGCACAAGATGGGTGATGTGTCAGCATCACGTCGGCGGCCTCTACTTCCCGGAATTGCACCCGGTTCCCACTCAAGGCTGGTTCGACCTGGGAGTCAAGTTCATTTTTGAAAAATGTCATGCTCCGCCAGGGAGCGAACCCACCCTTCCGATCCTAGGCGAGCTTTTAGCCGCTCCACAACGGGGACTCCTCATGTCACTATATCCCAGTTATTAGTCTGACACATTGTGTCTCATACTAGTTTTACTTCGACTAGTTAACATTAAACACCAGTGACGAAAGGCATCAGATGCATATTAATTTTAAGAAAAGACCGGTTGGAAAGATGAAAGTCATGGATGGCACTAGCTGAAGATACCATCGAGACGGCGGCCTCAGTCAAGCAAATACACAGAGGGCAGGAATGGATCAACACGAACACTTGCAAAAGCAGTTTCCATTAGGTCATTAACACGTTAGTGAGAGAATGTAGAAAGTGGTGTTGTAACGGTAAGGCAGAATTAGAGGCACAACAACTGATAGATGGAAAGGCTGGACTAGATGATGCAGTAGTGTACACCGATTGTGTAAGATGTGGCTGGTTTTTTTTTAAATTTTTTTTTTTAGCTAGAATGAAGAGAAAAATTGTGGCAGAATAAAATGGAGCTTTTTTATCTACAACTTCAAGCATGAGAATGGAAGTGGAGGCAATCACTGCAGCTCTGAAGTGGATAGTAGAAAACAGTTACCAGAGAAATTATTGTCTGATTCTCAGTCGGCATTGCGAAAGGTCCAAAATGGACTAATGTGGCATGAGTGGATACCATGCATCAGTACGCCAACATTGCAGAGAATCAAGTGGATATACTGCCCGGGTCATGCAGGAGTGCGAGGGAATGAAAGAGCGGATTATCTGGCAACAAAAGCGTTAGCTACCGGAACACTCGTATTGAACAAGGAAGATATGAGACCATATATGAACAATGTATAAATTTTGACAGAAAACACGAGATTAGGTGAAATAACATGGGCAAGAATGTGTGAACAAGGAATTAAGTGTGGATCCGGCAAGGAGGGACGGATAGGAGTGTGTATAATCGGTGTGCTACGGGAACAGTTAGCATCTACACCTTACATCATTTGCTGCGGGCGACGGAGCATCTATGGGTATGAACGGTGTGCTAGGATGTCGATTCTTAAATCAGTAATCAGTTAACATTAAACGTCTGTTACTTTGAACCGCAGACACTTTGAGACAGAAAACGTTGACGCTACAGATGTCAGGAATGGTAAGAATTAACTTTGCAGAAAATAGTTTGGCACACATTTTTTTTTTTCAGTTTTGTTAAGGTTTTTTTTTTTTTTTTTACAACGGATTAACATCATGGCATACGAGTAGTAACCCATAAGTACTCCATTGTTCTTCAAACTCAAGTCTGAGTCCGAAGAAGCTCAGCACCACTCAGGCTCTGTAGCACCAGGGAGGATCCTGAAATACTTTGGGTAGAATTTTGCACTCTAAATTTGTCCCGGCAGCCCTAGTAAGCTACTCTTTACGATTTCCAACTGCGAGGGGACTTTTTTTTTAACGTGCGCAATAATGCACACGGGCGTCCGATCTCACTACCCGAAGACCAGGTGGAATTACTAGAAGTCCAAGTCCACATGAAAAAAATCCCAGCTCTTGCCGGGAATTGAACCCGGAACCACTAGTACTCCAGGCGGACACCATGACTCGAGACCACATAGCCCTCTTTTTGGCATCAGTAAGGGTGGATACCCTACGTCAATAATAATAATAATAATAATAATAATAATAATAATAATAATAATAATAATAATAATAATAATCGTAATAATAAAAAATAACTGCCCTTACATGTTTTTGAACCCATGGCACCGAGACATATTTTACAAACATGTTTTTGAACCCATGGCACCGAGACATATTTTACAAACATGTTTTTGAACCCATGGCACCGAGACATATTTTACAAACATGTTTTTGAACCCATGGCACCGAGACATATTTTACAAACATGTTTTTGAACCCGTGGCACCGAGACATATTTTACACACATGTTTTTGAACCCGTGGCACCGAGACATATTTTACACACATGTTTTTGAACCCATGGCACCGAGACATATTTTACACACATGTTTTTGAACCCGTGGCACCGAGACATATTTTACACACATGTTTTTGAACCCATGGCACCGAGACATATTTTACACACATGCTTTTCCGATGTCCTGATTTTTAATTTGTGTGGGCAGAAGTTAATATGTTTATTTTTGTCAACAAATAACAGGCGTTCCTCCAGAATTACAACTGGCTTTTCTCACCCACGGCAGTGTTTGACTCCATACCCTCCACTGGCCGCCACATTATATTTATGAGCCACTACCTTCACTACACCAGCTACCACGTCAGCGTCTATGAGATGGCCATGGTGGCGCTACGGAATGCCATCGTCAAGCTGTTGAAGCGGGCGTCAGACGTGCTGTTTATTATAAGGGTAAGATTTTGTACTGTTAAACTTGATTACTGTTAAGCTTGATTACTATTAAACTTGATTACTGTTAAACTTGATTACTGTTAGGCTTGATTACTGTTTAACTTGATTACTGTTAAGCTTGATTACTATTAAACTTGATTACTGTTGAGCTTGATTACTTTTAAACTTGATTACTGTTAAGCTTGATTACTTTTAAACTTGATTACTGTTAAGCTTGATTTCAGAATTGTTTTTATACGGAATGAATGAGTTGATTTAACGACCGAAATCACAGCACTCGGCATTTCCACAAGCCCTGTGTCCCTATCTTCAGCAGACAGCACAGAGTTCCAATACCAATTGTGCCCGCTGCATGCTGGTTATATGTCCGTCTTGCCTTTCCACTAAGCCTCGAAAATCCCCTCGTCACACCTTGCTGCATAACTCTCCCCAAATTGTGATAATCAGTCTACTCCTCCGAATTGTACACGTTTTTCCATAGGCCTTAGTCATGTCTGCCTTATCATGCATCAGTACTCCATCAAGTCGTGCAGCGTCAGTCAATCTGTTTGTCTGTTGCTTCCCAAACACACCGGCATACCCCGAAGAAAAGATCTAGAAAATGCTCTTCACCAGTGACAAGACATGAATGAGTGGATGAATAAAAGATAAATGAACTGGCATTATTGCACTCAGAACCTTACGCCACGTGCTCCGTCACCTTCATCAGTGGACATTGAAGAGTTTCCATTCTGACTGATAGTGCCAGTTGTAACCTGATTAAAAGTCCACCTGTAATTTCTCACGAGGGTTGAAAATCTATTAGACCATTTTCTCATCCCATCTCATTTCATCTCAGTTTGGATTCTCTGGTACTTTGCGGTGTTGAGATAAAGTACTATGTACAGGATAGTGGCCGTTTGTTTGCTTAGTAAATGGGGATTATAAGGGACTAGGTTATTCCCTCTGTGCAACCTTTGCATGTGCGGCCTCGTTATCGCTTGCCATCCACGTTATATTACTAAACTATTTCATCTGTTGTCTTCTAATGAAACTCAGAGCTATAGCTCCCACATTCTCCCTATTCGCATTTCATAATTCCTAATCTAGTCTCTTTTTGTATACTTTCCTGTATGCCTCATCAATATACTATTATATACTATCTTCTCACTACTTGTTACATAAGCATTTCCAGATATGGCCACATAGTTTTCACCATGTCCGATTTATTGTACAGTAGCTTGCCTCCTAAGAGGTGGTAGCAGCCACATCATCAGCCTGCTAATTATCACGCACACCTGAATTTCTGCCCCCCCCCCCCCCCGCCCAAAAGGTATGATATGCTATTGATATCTTCTTTTTCTTTCTTCTGCCTGTCTAGTCCCCAATGGAGCATAGGCCCTCAACCAACTCACGCCAAGTCGTTTTATCTTTTGCTATAGTTTGCAGCTCTCTCCATGTCCTCCCCATCTTTCTAACTTCAGTCTCCAGCTCCCTTTTCCATGTGCTCTTTTTTAGCCTTCTTTTATTCCTATGCTCCTCTGGGTTCCAATGCAAAGGCTTTCTAGTTATTTTGTTCTCCGGTTTTCTCAATGTGTGTCCTATCCAACGTCAGCTTTTTCCTTCACCTCTTGTTCCTCTGGAGCTTGCTCAGTTCTCTCCCAAAGCTTTACATTAATAATTCTATCACATCAGTTTATTCTCTCTATTCTGCGCAGGCACCAGTTAATGAATGACTGTAGTTTATTAGTCATTGCCCCATTCAAAAATACTGATTTTTTTACATTATAATTGAATATATTGAGTTTAGTATTTCTTTAAATTTCATTTGACCTCCACAAAATCCCTAGTGCTATGAAAGCTCGGGATAGTGAAAGAAAGTCATATTCTTCCGTAATCTACGTTATCTTGGTCTATACCAATGTCGTATATGTAGGCCTGGTGAAAATAGGGGTATAACTAAAAACCTGTATTTAATATCTCGTCTTCTAGTTCATCTTTGTCTCCACCACTGCCGTATCTTTAGTCATTACCCCTATGTGCACCCGAGGCATCCACTGTAATACTAACAACAGTATAGGCGAAAGACAAGTGTATTCTCTCAGACATATATATATATATGTGTGTGTGTGTGTGTGTGTGTGTGTGTGTGTGTGGTTAAAAAAATATAATTTTGCATTTCTTAAAATTACCTTTTCAAGGTAAGTAATAGGGGGAAAAAATAACCAAAAGAATATAAATCCAGCAAAAGTTTACTTTTTACTGATTGTGGTAATAAATGAAGAAATGCACAATAACCTGGGCCACCAATGTGACTGTTAAAAATGACAATTTAATATGTGTATTGGTCACGCTTTGCTACTTCATTTATAATAAGCACACGAAATTCAGAAAGGGTTTGCTATATTTATATATATAGCAGCATCTTTTTTTGTTTTACTCGCCTTTCAATCATGCTTGGTGACCTTTCACACGCGCTAATCTCTATTACAGGGGTCTCAGGTTGTGTTGTGGTCGATGCTATCTGCCTTCTATATTGCACGTAGTTTGCTGGTTGTTGTGAGCGGCCTGTGACATTGTGTATATTATAGCTTCCTCGGACTTAAAGTAGGACACGAATTTACTTCAGCTGTCAGCGTTGACGAGCTACAAGAAGAGCAGCGTTGCTTTTCTGCAGCAAGGCAGCTTTTTAGGGCTGACCGCGAAATGTTAAGAATTCTGAAATCACTGGACGTAAGCAACACTCTCTCTCTCTCTCTCTCTTGAGACGTAAGTTGAGGCTGTGGGATAGGGTGGATTGGGGTTAGGACTTCTATATGCTCTGGGGTTGTTAAATTCAGAGACATCGTGTAATCTAGAAAACGGTACATCATCAGTGATAGCATGGAATACAACACAATGTGACTTCCCTGTAACATAGACTTGGGGCGAAAAACACCACTCGAACCCAGTGTAAGTGTGTGTGTGTGTGTTTATGTATGTGTGTGTATGTATGTGTGTGTGTGTGTGTGTAGTAACCTTTAGTGATGTCATCATTTAAAATGACAACGCACAATTATTTCTAACAAAAAGTTTTCACCTGAAATGTTACCAACAATTATCTTTTGCAGGGACCTCATGTCGCCGAGCTGACCCCCTACACCTCTTCGCTAGGGGATGCCTGGGCCGATGAGCTACACAATATACAAAGACGGACGTTCAAGGATCTACAAGACCATGTCCTATACGTACCAACGTGGGATATAACTATAGCAGCAGAGGACACACACCATCACCCATCCTCCAACGGCAAAATAGGTCACGTGATGTTACAGTTGGTGTGTGGGAGAACAAGGAATTCTTCTGCATTAACATTCAATAACGTTTGATTTTTGTCTACGATTAAGAACTGGCTTCAATTAGCTATGGGTGGGTCTCTCAAAGGATATTTCGACAGGCGTGGCTGTGCTGTTGGAAGATGGCTTGTGTGGGTCGACTTAGCTTCAGGGGACCGAATAACAATAACTTGTGCATAACTTACTGGCACATTCGTAATTCAGGCGATTCGTGAAGTATTATGTTTACATGGACCAAGCTCGAGCATGTATCTAGGACTATTTTTATTTAGCTCTTATTTGGATTGTAAACCCCATATTCACGCCAACACTGCGCTAGCAGTGCCAGACCTGGATATTATCAAAAGCTAACCTACGTAAATTTAACACCTGCAAAATGAGATGCACGAGGAAAGCTGCTATGTTAACCAATCTACATATGGCTAAAAATGATGTTTTTTGACAAGACAGTAGAAACAACACCATGCAGAAAATAAATTGAGAAACAGAATATCAAATGATTTGGTCATTTAGTAAAATTCAGCCATACCAACTACCAACGCAGGCGCTACATTTTAAAAGATCTGAAGTGAAAGCAAAAGGCTGCCTTAGGAGAAGATGGATTGATGACTTTAAGAGTATCTACAGGACATGGAATGACAATAGCCAATGCTGCCCATCAAGCAAAGGATCGTAAACAGTTCCCCCCCCCCCCCCCCCCCCCCCCCCCCCCCCCCACAACGCTTACTGACATAAGTGGAAATTGATGATGATATTGATGATGATGAGCCTTTAGACTTCTTGTTCTTATTTCATATTTGTATTCCTTATCTATGAGAAATATTGACATCTTAGAAGATCTGAACATCAAGGAAGATTGGCTAATAAACAGCATCCTTTCTCGAAAGCTGAAATATTTTGGTCATGTCAAGCGCCATGACGGATTGGAGATAATTATAGCAGAATGCATGGTACCAGGAGGTAGGGGCAGTGGCCGACCGACACGAAGATGGGCACAGAATATAAGTTACTCCTTGAGTGTGAAAGTTCATGAGGCGGCAGAACTGTCGAGAGACCGAGTTTCTTTCAGTCAGACTGTGAAGGGAGCGACGTTCTGCAAAGGACCTGCTACATGATGATGATTCTTCATTTGCTGCTGAATATCCGTCAACGTCCCCATCCTTCTCCTCATGATCAAAGTCATCCACCATTTTTTACTTCCGCCGCTGCTTCAGTTTCTTAGCGAACGATATTCTTTTTTTAATCATTGTAACTCTCTCATCCTTTGCTGTTCTTTGCATTTCCTTCCCTGTACTTATTTTTTTTTTCTCTTTACCTTCTCTAACTCCCGTTTCTGTCTGTAAAAATCGTCCTTTTTTTTTTTTTTTTAAATAACTGGATACTAAATAAATGACTTTCTTTTATACCATCAGTATGTTTGCCCAGCGTTTCTACAATTCAGTGCTTGCATGTTTTTCTTCCCTCCTTTTATTTTGATTTATTTAATCCACCAGTTAAGCAAAGGGACTAACTAACGAAGGTTGACAGTTGATAAGGAACCCATATTTTTTTCTTTTGTTCTCATTTAACACCTACGTTAAGTGAAACCGCGACGGGCTCCAGCTGAAAGGGCATGATCTGATGTCACCGGGTCGGGCTAACAATGCGTTAACGCAGCGGTTCTTAAACAAGAAGTAAACTATTTTTGACAGTGGCAAGGCAAGATAACATAAATTTTAACTTTCAAGTATCTACATGTCTTCTTTAATAATGACACAGTTTTTAGCCGACTTCTCTTAATTATTGCCGAGGCACCCCTGACATACGCTTACGACATCCTGGGGTGCCTCAGCATCCAGTTTGAGAACCACTGCATTATTGCATCATTAGGCTGACCGCGTGACGTCAGCAGCACAAAATGACAGCTGGAGCCGGTCGTGGTGAAACAATACTCATTAATGTTCATTTTAAAAAAGATTCTTTACCAGACAAACAAAAACTTTATTTTCTTCAATATAAACCCACTCTTGCAGGAATCGCCTTGGTGTAGCTGCTAGATGCTTACCTGCCGATCGCAAGGTCGTGGGTTCGGGTCCTCATGGAATCGGGCCTTCTTTAAAAATGACCTTGGCTCCCAGGTTGGCCCAGCCTGGTTTGGGTACCAGGTGGAGACCTGGGAACTAAAGGCTGATCGCATGACGTTGACCACATTATCCATTAAGTGCTGATTGTCTGTAAAAAATAGGTCTAGCCCTATATGCCTCATACGCATGAAGGGTGGAAAAGGGTCCTTTACTTATTTTACTAATCCCACTTATAAATATAGAGTCATACACTTATTAAGGAGCAATGCAGATAAAAATGAGGGCAAAGGAGGCATGTACTACAAAATGAATATACATGGCGAGTGAGTTTTAATAGCCCTACAAAATCATTAGTAATTATTAAAACTAGTACAAAACATGGAATATTCATCTGTAATTTCAAGTCATTACTGTCGTATGGAGCTGTTTCTTAGGAACCGTAAAACATGCGCTTGAAGGGCGAGGAACTAACTGTCTGCACTTAAAAAAGCCCAGATCTGTTAAACAGAAAGCCATGCAAAACTCTTGCAGCATGGACAAAGTCCATTAGTAGATGAACAACTGGAACTTCCGTCGGCGTTTACAGCCGGTGACCAGGAAGGAGGAGGAGGAGGAGGAGGAGAAGAAGAAGAAGAAGAAGAAGAAGAAGAAGAAGAAGAAGAAGAAGAAGAAGAAGAAGAAGAAGAAGAAGAAGAAGAAGAAGAAGAAGAAGAAGAAGAAGAAGAAGAAAAAGAAGAAGAAGATGAAAAAGAAGAAGAAGAGGAAGAAGAAGAAAAAAAAAGAAGATGATGATGATGACAATGATGATGAAAAAGATGATGAAGATTGTCGTATGGCAGTTTCGTCGCGCACCTTTTCTTCCGGATTATTTTCCCAAAATCCACAGGTGCTCTGAGATAGGAGTGTTCTGAAGGGTGGCTCTCGTTTGTCTAGAGGCCTAGCCCTCGGTTCAAACTTCCATTCAGCCTATCTCAAGAATAGGGTGACTCGAGCTTTGACTCCTCAGGGTTACTACAAACTCTTGGGTACTACTCGGCCAGACTCCCCCATTACTAACTTTGCCATCAGACTGGTAAACAACGTAACATAGTCAGATATATAAACAACAGTGAGTCAGACAAGACGTGAACACATTTCGGACTACGACAATTGATTCCATTAAATCCAAACTTTTCTAAGAACAAAAAGACTTATGAACTAAAACTCCAATGTAATAAATGCACTATAACAAGGCAGAAGAAATGTAGCTCGAAGAACTAAACGATTGTTCAAGTCTTTAAAGAGTTGAGACCAGAGAAAGAGTCTTCCTATATCGCCACATCCATTTCCATAATCATCAATGCGTGGAGTGTTGAGACAGACTACGAAGGCACATCTGGACTCAGGCCGCTAAAGTGATGTTAACTTGGACTTATCCGGTCAGAACCTGCAGCTCCTCAGGGTGCCGGAAGGTGGAATTCTGCCACGTCTCGTTACTCAGAACGTCTCCGTACGATTAAGATGACCCCTGGGATCGATCGAATAACAATCAACTTCCCAGAGACTGGTGGGCGTGAACTTCAAAAACAGTCAGACATATCAGGCAATGTCTAATCAACACAAATTGGTTGCTTCCCAGGTGCTGGTTGGCGGGAGAATCTGACTACCACACGGACGCATGCTGGGTCTTCCAATTTCCCATATAAACGAATGAAGAGAGCAAAGATGCTTTATTAACGGTCAAGTGGCCACAGAACTGAAACACGTCCCACCACTTGAACGGACCAAGAATAAGTGACGTATAAAATTATAGTCCCTATCTACGACAGTTGGGGTGAGAATATGGCTCAAGCACACTGTGAAGCGGTCACACAATTAAGCTTGAACAGGCGTAGAAAATGTGTCCTATCATACAAAAAGACACTATGCCCAGAAGAATCAATCCAGGAGCAATTTCTATAGGTTTCCCACAGCTGAACTCCCCATCAACAAACGAACTATATAACTACGGACGGACCATCCGATATCATAGTTACATCAACAAATATGGGGGTGTCCAGACTGTGGGCAAGTCTATTGTGGTAAGGGTGTTGATGCTGTTATGTGACAAAGATGATGGAGATAAATATGACGATGAAGTACGTAGATGTAAGAAATGGTGAGCGATTGAAAGTGTGTTCAGATAAACTGCAGTCAAGCATGTTTAAGAAAAAAATGGCTGGAATTGTACGGCAGAATCAATAAAGTAGAGGTGAGAGAACAAATAACAATTGTCTATGTGTCATACTGAGAAGATTAAATAAAACCCTGGCGATGGATAGTACACACAGAGAGAAACAAAGATGTTGACATTATATTGATAACTCTCTCGCACTGGACGCCTTAGAGCCAAAGAAATAGAAGCAAGCAAACAAAGAAACTCAGTAACACACTATCACCCCATCCCCCTTTTACCCCCACGAAATTGGTAAATGAGTTGAACAAAGTAATAATCCCCGTGTGGGTTCCGGGGCCCCATGTGAGGAAAAACAAGAATATACACACTGTCTCCCCAATAAGCATGTGGCAGGACCCGACTAATCGGGGACTTTATTGGAAGTGGGAGTGCATCGGCCCAAGCCTCAAGGAACAACCCTCCCTATCGCCCAACCATCTAATCTCATCTATTTAGTAGTCACAATTTGACACAGAAATAATGTGCCTCCTTGGCTTCATGCTGCACATGAAACGACGCAAATTTCACCAGCTAAACAACATGGCGGGGTAGTTGTCATCACCGGGCAGGGTTACAATTTAGCCAGATCATCGATGAAAGGGTGACATGCATCACACTGACATTACTTCTAAGAATAAGCGAATTGGGAGTAAAGATCGGCACAGCCAAGCATGAGAAGCACACTGGACGAAGTCTTGTTAACCGACATAAGACTGGTACTATATATATTGTGACACGGTCATGGCAAATACTGTTGAAGTATAATGTGTTGAGCT